CACCACGTGGAGGTAACTCTGTGGGGCCAAGGACCCAGGGAAATATTGGTGAAAATTCCTTTGCTTTTACGCAAGTTCGCCCCAAACTTTTGAAAAATTTTCTAAGTCCGGAGAAGAACCTTTGCTCTTACGCAGGTTTTGTTCACCAATACACAACGTATCACCCAATGGCTGAGTAAACCCAGTCAACACCCCGACATTAACCATACAACGTATGGATCAGACAACAAGCCAGTAATTAAACCAACCTGCAAGGTCATATAAGGGGTAAAGGCTGCAATGACATGAAGTCAAGGCATATATGCATACGAAACCGCAGCATATCTAGCGGCTGCCCACGCCGCCCCTGTTGGTCCGTGTTATAGATACGTTGCGCCAGTTCCCAGACCGGCATTCATACGCGTCACTAAAGTGTCGCAGCAACGTCCGCACAATGTGCACAACCACTTACGTTGCACCCACCCATAACGGGTTTCCCCGGTAATGGATCGAGAATCCCTCCCCATTATATGCGAACTCACAGTAAACGCGTCAGTCAAACCCTCCAATTCAACAACTAGTGCTGTTTCTTTGCGTTCGACCGCCCAACCTCCTTCTTTGCCTGAACTCCGCTCCCTCAGCCGCAAGTCCATTTTGCATCGCTAACGCTTTGGCATGGCAAAGTAGGTTCGGATGATGTAATCCGTCCCCAGTACCACAGCTCGCTGCATCCTTTCAATGTGACGACTCACTTTAGTCTGCTGCAATATATGCTGTATGTGGGGAACGAATTCACGGTGAAGGTGGCCCGTGGGAGTGATTACTAGTGGTAGTACCTTAACTCCTCGCACGAAGTTCGGGTACATAGCTCTCAACTCGTTGGCCAAGTTCACCCCTGGTGGATACGGCGTGCTTTCGCTGTACTCATGGTTAGAGTTTACAGCGTACCGGTTATATTTGTTCTCATACACCAGTTGCACACTTGAATGCCATGTTACGCTGACCTCGGCAATTAATATTTCTTGCCTCAAGCGGTCAAATATGACTACATCCGGTCTGCAGTGACGTGGCATGTTAGGTGTTGGGATATCTATGTCATATCTCACCTCTAGCCTTTCACCTCTCACCAGACCTTCAATCGGTTGTGTATAATGGTACCGGGGTAGTGTTGAATCTACCTCGGTCAGAGCAGAGTATAGCCACCTGGCTACCCCGTCATGCCTTTGCTTCATAGTAGTTTCCCGAAGGATCCTACACCCATTGGTAATATGAGCAATTGTGGCATTCTGTTCGCCGCATGCCCTGCATTTCTCCAACACATTGTGCGGGTTTACCCCTTCCAGCAGAGTTCCCTCTATTACGCTGTTCACGTGTTGGTACGCCTTATCGTTGACCCATGCCTTCTCCAACCATAGGTAGGAGTACTTCGGATCAAAGACCGACGAATCCGCATCAACCCATCGCCCAGCTCTTGGCATTTGAGCGAGTTCTCTAAGGTACTTTTCTTCGAGCTTGGTATCAATTGCCAATGCAATCTTCTGCGCCAACGCTCTCGAATTTTCGCCCGGATTACTCAAAATATCTTCGCCAATGCCGAGTTCCTTGAAGATGTAAAGCAAGTGCTTGTAAACTTGGTTCTTTCCTTTGAGTCGCCCGCTCAGGAAATAGTCCTTGGCCCTGCATACCCAGGGATCTTGACAAGTCAGGAGGTACGCCGCTGAGTACGCTACCGAATGGTAGTAAGTCGCCCTCAACGACGGCCATCCCAACCCACCTCGTTCACAGCTGAGGTACATACGCGGATTAGCACATTTAGCATGGAGAATGCCACGAGATCGTATCAACTTTCGGATCTCCATGTCCATTCTGTCCATGTCTGACGCCGCCGTGGCAGGTCGTTTATCTCCCAATATGATATTGGCGAGTATGAACGCTGCGCCTGGAAACGCCACTGTTCTAATCGCGTGCCGCCTCTGACCAACTGTATGTTGGGTAACCTGAAGTATACTAGATACTTTGGCCAGGATTACCTTTTCCATACGGGCATAGGCAGCGACCTCATGCGCTACGAATCCACTCTCTATTCCCAGGTACTTATATTGGTCTTTCACTCCTAGTACGGGTAGTGAGGACGTCGTATTTTCCCCAGAGAGTGAGGCAGCAGCGCTCTTGCTTGCGTTTATGTTCATTCCAATACGAGAAAAGAGCTCTGGGACTAACCTTTCGGCAGCCACCTGGGCTCTTTCCCCTGCGCAGTACACTTTTAGGTCATCCATGTAAAACATGTGACCAACGTATACCGAGACTCCATCGCGCCTCCCCGGAATCGGACGAAACTGGGGCCCAGGGTTGGCATCCCTGAGAGCTTTGGATATCGGAGCGATACATAAACAAAACCACGTTGGTGATAGGGTGTCTCCTTGCAGGAGGCCTCTTCTCACCCTGAGCGGATTGCTCCGTTCAGTGTGGCCGGATCGTCGAAGCTCGTATCTAACGGTCCAATTCATAGTCAAAGATTTCATTAGAAGCAGGAGCTTCCTGTCTATCTTAGCTACTTCAAGGACCTTGAACATATGATCACGTAGGACCGAGTCAAAGGCCTTCTGGCAGTCATAAAACAAGACTCTGAGACCGCCTGGAATTCCCTTATCGACTCTGGCCGAACCTGTGACCATCCTGTCCACGATACTCGCGTGCGTACACCCCCATACACCTTTACGGTTCGCGATTTGTTCGCGTGGGAGCAGTTGGGGGCAAGCGGATACTTGCTCTCGTATGGCCTTCTCGATTACGGACGTTATCAATTTATAGCACGTATTGAGACACGCGATGGGCCTATAGTTAGCGGGATCGCTTGCGTCACCCTTCTTGTAGAGTAGCACGACTCTCCCATGTGCCAACCACCCAGGCGTGTTCACGCGCACACTTCGCAGTGCATTGATAAGCCAAGTGCATAACCAATCGCTGGCACACGGCAGACGTTTCCAGGAAACTCCAGGAATTCCGTCTGGGCCAGGCGCTTTGTTTGGCTTGCACTTCGATACAGCCATACGCCACCATACTCGGAGTTGCTCGTCAGTGACCTCTTGAGCTGATACGTTACAGTCTTGTGCCCACTCCGCCGTGATGGCGTCGCTTTGAGAACGTTGGCTTTCACCAACTATCCCTGCCCAATACTCACGTATCTCGTCGACTCTAAGCGCCGGATCATCTCTCGATTCTCCAGACTCGAGATATTTCCGCAGAGGGACAAACTTGCCCCTCTTACGATCTCGATCCGCTCTGCGTCGCATCACTGACCTCCGTGTCATTGCTAGAACGTCTCTTAACATCGACTTGAGCTCAATGAGCCTAGTCGTATCCGCCACCCGGTCTCGCCCATACCGAAGTCTGAGCTCCACCACGTGTCGTTTCTGACGCGGGGTTAACCTTTGCGACTGCCGCCGCCTGGTCAACTCCACATCTATCCAGTTAAGATAACGCGACAGATTCTTGATCTCTGCTTCCCTAGCGGCGAACCAGTCCTTCTCACGTTGTGCGCATTTCTTGTCTTCTAATTTGAGGACATGCGCAACGGTGCAAGAAGCGGCATAAACCGTTCTGTTTAGGTCAGCGAGACTTCGAATAGTTCCGTTGGCAACATGCTCAGCCACCAAGTGGTTAGCATGTTTCCACAGAACCTCCGGCACCTTTCTAGGGAATTTGATCGGTTTTCGGACCTTTCTTGTTTTCCCCATCCAGGTAGCTACAAAGTGGTTAAAGTTTTCTCTGAACTCGTCATCGATCACCCACTCCGTATCCGGACTGCTAGCTGTAGTCGTTGGTTCGGCAGCCGAAGCTGCTTCCCCGATTCGATGATCTTCGATCTGCTCCGAAGAGTTCTCTGGATCATCCAGGATTACCGTTTCGCCATCAGGATTTACAACGACCCTATCCCAGACCTTGTCAAAGATACGATCGGCCGCCTTGTCTCGCTGGAGTTTCGAACGAATCGAACTCCAGTTTCTAGCCGGCAAGTTTAACCCGTAGGCTCTGTTAACTGACTCGATCACACGGTTGTAGCGTTCGCTAAGTTTACCGAACCAAACGGCCGGTCCACCCGCTTCAACACCACCAGTGCTTTCTTTTAGTTCCCGGTACTCCTGACACACCCTGGCCAACTCGTCAGTTGACCAGTTCTGGCGTTGTACCCTACCAGTCACCCTGGTTGGTTGTGTCTGAACCCGTGCAAGCACCGATTCAGACGGTTGGGCTCCAGCATTACCGTTTGCTCGTGATGAGTTTTCATTTGGTATGCCGGGGGCCCCAGCACCCGTCGATTGTTCCCCGGAAGGTCCCGGTTCGCTTTCTGTGGGCGCCGACTCAGTCCTCCCCCTCTTCGTGGGGGGAGACCTGAGATTTGACGGCTCAGGTAACATCCTATCTGACGGGCAATGGTCTGCAGCATCCCGCCACAGTTCCCCTGAGCCACCAGAAGACTGTGTGACCGCGCGAGGACGCCTCTTTTTAGGATTCAAAGCCGTAAAATTTCGGCTGGGGCGCCTAGCTAGGGCGCCCAACCTAGGGACCTTATTTGGTATTGTATTATCCTGCCCCCCTAGAGTACCCAACTCTGGCAGCTGTTGGCGGGTGTAAAACCGTAAACCACCCTGGAAGTAACACTTGTGTTCATACTTATGCAATAATGGCCCGCTTTTATTACCAAACTTGCGTAACATCAAAGGAATTTCCCAAGGATTTTCCCAGACGCTGCACAGTGCGTGGCAAAAAGAGTATCCAAACTTGCGTAAGAACCAAGCATTTACTTCCCTGCTCGTAAGCCCGCCCCCTTTCGCTGATTGGCTGGTTAGGCCTTTCCGCGCAGTGGACACGCCCCCTTTCCGAGGATAAACTCGAAAAGTTCGAGCCGAGCGTCCGTCCCCCTGTGGCCTACTGGTCAAAGGGGGCGGTTCGTGCGTGAAACCTTGCGAGTTCGAATCCCCCCACCCCCCACTAATCTCTCTACTTTCAGATTTTCCGATATGGCAAACCCGAGAAAGCAAGGAGAACAGAAGAAGGAGGAGAAAAAGCCCGGCGACCAACAGCAGAAGCCAGGTGTGTCTAAGCCGAAGCCGAAACCCACCCCTTATTCAACTATCCTGAAGGCCTTAGGACTTATGGATTCAAAATCTCCAACTATCAGCGATGAAGTATACGGCCTGCTTCATAAAGTCTGTCAAAATCACAAGCCTTGTTCAGGCACCCCTACCGGGGACCATTGTGTCCAACTCATTGGCATGCAAAATCGTATTACCAAACACGATCTGTTCCACAAGAAGAAGGTGATGCCAGCCTTGAGGAAACTTGACGTTGTCTGGCGCAACTATTCGCACCGCCACCCTGCAGAAGCTCAACAAGTTGAAGAGGAGCTTATGGAATTGGATAACCAAGAGCCTGAAGACCAGCCCGGCGCCTCCAATGTAAAGGACAACCCCTCCAAGGACAAGAAGGCCAAGTCGAAGAAGTCAAGTGCAGAGGAAGATCAAGCTAAGTAAACAGATCTCTATGGTTGTTGTATGTCAATTCAGGTAAAAATAAATAAAATTTTTCCTGTTTTTTCATAACACAATTCCGCTCTTCCCCTCCCACAACCGATACCTTTTACTCTCGCACTCTGTAGCTAATGCATCCGAGGCAATTATCCACTAGCGATTGGTTTTGAGCCACGCTCGACCCTCTCGGGTCACACTAGATGGCTTACCCTTCCGCCGCTCACTCTGAGTAGCGATTTCATCTCCAGTATCAATTGAGTTCGGGTACTTCTATCTATTCAAGAGCTTCCGCTTCCGCGTATGCTTATCTGATCATGCTTTTATTATAGGCTGTGCCTTGGTTCTCACGAACCGCACGAACAGTGCATCCTTCAGCCGCCCTATCATAGACCTGTCACCAATGGCTGCCATATAGAGCGAAAACCCAACGCTTCTATAGGCACTGAGGCAGCTGGGCTCTGCCTGTATCGTATACTTCATCACTTTTCACTTCGGTTTGTAGCCTCCTTTCTCACTAACCTTTCTACAGCACTTGACATCAAATCGATAGCTCAAGGCTAACTTTTGTCCGTACTTGGCTTTCGATCGGTAACTTAGCGAGGGGAGGTATTTGGTTATCTTGATTTGAGGGGTACTCATCTCTCACACCAAACCTGCTGCTCAGTAAAAGTAGCCTCTTTCACTTCATGCCCTACTTCTGTAAGGTTAGTCGCTTACTTGAGACCACATTCACCTCAACACAACAGGCATAAAGGGTTTTCCTTGGCTTTCAGAGTGTTTAGCCGACTGTTACATCGCCCACCGGTCACCACGTGGAGGTAACTCTGTGGGGCCAAGGACCCAGGGAAATATTGGTGAAAATTCCTTTGCTTTTACGCAAGTTCGCCCCAAACTTTTGAAAAATTTTCTAAGTCCGGAGAAGAACCTTTGCTCTTACGCAGGTTTTGTTCACCAATACACAACGTATCACCCAATGGCTGAGTAAACCCAGTCAACACCCCGACATTAACCATACAACGTATGGATCAGACAACAAGCCAGTAATTAAACCAACCTGCAAGGTCATATAAGGGGTAAAGGCTGCAATGACATGAAGTCAAGGCATATATGCATACGAAACCGCAGCATATCTAGCGGCTGCCCACGCCGCCCCTGTTGGTCCGTGTTATAGATACGTTGCGCCAGTTCCCAGACCGGCATTCATACGCGTCACTAAAGTGTCGCAGCAACGTCCGCACAATGTGCACAACCACTTACGTTGCACCCACCCATAACGGGTTTCCCCGGTAATGGATCGAGAATCCCTCCCCATTATATGCGAACTCACAGTAAACGCGTCAGTCAAACCCTCCAATTCAACAACTAGTGCTGTTTCTTTGCGTTCGACCGCCCAACCTCCTTCTTTGCCTGAACTCCGCTCCCTCAGCCGCAAGTCCATTTTGCATCGCTAACGCTTTGGCATGGCAAAGTAGGTTCGGATGATGTAATCCGTCCCCAGTACCACAGCTCGCTGCATCCTTTCAATGTGACGACTCACTTTAGTCTGCTGCAATATATGCTGTATGTGGGGAACGAATTCACGGTGAAGGTGGCCCGTGGGAGTGATTACTAGTGGTAGTACCTTAACTCCTCGCACGAAGTTCGGGTACATAGCTCTCAACTCGTTGGCCAAGTTCACCCCTGGTGGATACGGCGTGCTTTCGCTGTACTCATGGTTAGAGTTTACAGCGTACCGGTTATATTTGTTCTCATACACCAGTTGCACACTTGAATGCCATGTTACGCTGACCTCGGCAATTAATATTTCTTGCCTCAAGCGGTCAAATATGACTACATCCGGTCTGCAGTGACGTGGCATGTTAGGTGTTGGGATATCTATGTCATATCTCACCTCTAGCCTTTCACCTCTCACCAGACCTTCAATCGGTTGTGTATAATGGTACCGGGGTAGTGTTGAATCTACCTCGGTCAGAGCAGAGTATAGCCACCTGGCTACCCCGTCATGCCTTTGCTTCATAGTAGTTTCCCGAAGGATCCTACACCCATTGGTAATATGAGCAATTGTGGCATTCTGTTCGCCGCATGCCCTGCATTTCTCCAACACATTGTGCGGGTTTACCCCTTCCAGCAGAGTTCCCTCTATTACGCTGTTCACGTGTTGGTACGCCTTATCGTTGACCCATGCCTTCTCCAACCATAGGTAGGAGTACTTCGGATCAAAGACCGACGAATCCGCATCAACCCATCGCCCAGCTCTTGGCATTTGAGCGAGTTCTCTAAGGTACTTTTCTTCGAGCTTGGTATCAATTGCCAATGCAATCTTCTGCGCCAACGCTCTCGAATTTTCGCCCGGATTACTCAAAATATCTTCGCCAATGCCGAGTTCCTTGAAGATGTAAAGCAAGTGCTTGTAAACTTGGTTCTTTCCTTTGAGTCGCCCGCTCAGGAAATAGTCCTTGGCCCTGCATACCCAGGGATCTTGACAAGTCAGGAGGTACGCCGCTGAGTACGCTACCGAATGGTAGTAAGTCGCCCTCAACGACGGCCATCCCAACCCACCTCGTTCACAGCTGAGGTACATACGCGGATTAGCACATTTAGCATGGAGAATGCCACGAGATCGTATCAACTTTCGGATCTCCATGTCCATTCTGTCCATGTCTGACGCCGCCGTGGCAGGTCGTTTATCTCCCAATATGATATTGGCGAGTATGAACGCTGCGCCTGGAAACGCCACTGTTCTAATCGCGTGCCGCCTCTGACCAACTGTATGTTGGGTAACCTGAAGTATACTAGATACTTTGGCCAGGATTACCTTTTCCATACGGGCATAGGCAGCGACCTCATGCGCTACGAATCCACTCTCTATTCCCAGGTACTTATATTGGTCTTTCACTCCTAGTACGGGTAGTGAGGACGTCGTATTTTCCCCAGAGAGTGAGGCAGCAGCGCTCTTGCTTGCGTTTATGTTCATTCCAATACGAGAAAAGAGCTCTGGGACTAACCTTTCGGCAGCCACCTGGGCTCTTTCCCCTGCGCAGTACACTTTTAGGTCATCCATGTAAAACATGTGACCAACGTATACCGAGACTCCATCGCGCCTCCCCGGAATCGGACGAAACTGGGGCCCAGGGTTGGCATCCCTGAGAGCTTTGGATATCGGAGCGATACATAAACAAAACCACGTTGGTGATAGGGTGTCTCCTTGCAGGAGGCCTCTTCTCACCCTGAGCGGATTGCTCCGTTCAGTGTGGCCGGATCGTCGAAGCTCGTATCTAACGGTCCAATTCATAGTCAAAGATTTCATTAGAAGCAGGAGCTTCCTGTCTATCTTAGCTACTTCAAGGACCTTGAACATATGATCACGTAGGACCGAGTCAAAGGCCTTCTGGCAGTCATAAAACAAGACTCTGAGACCGCCTGGAATTCCCTTATCGACTCTGGCCGAACCTGTGACCATCCTGTCCACGATACTCGCGTGCGTACACCCCCATACACCTTTACGGTTCGCGATTTGTTCGCGTGGGAGCAGTTGGGGGCAAGCGGATACTTGCTCTCGTATGGCCTTCTCGATTACGGACGTTATCAATTTATAGCACGTATTGAGACACGCGATGGGCCTATAGTTAGCGGGATCGCTTGCGTCACCCTTCTTGTAGAGTAGCACGACTCTCCCATGTGCCAACCACCCAGGCGTGTTCACGCGCACACTTCGCAGTGCATTGATAAGCCAAGTGCATAACCAATCGCTGGCACACGGCAGACGTTTCCAGGAAACTCCAGGAATTCCGTCTGGGCCAGGCGCTTTGTTTGGCTTGCACTTCGATACAGCCATACGCCACCATACTCGGAGTTGCTCGTCAGTGACCTCTTGAGCTGATACGTTACAGTCTTGTGCCCACTCCGCCGTGATGGCGTCGCTTTGAGAACGTTGGCTTTCACCAACTATCCCTGCCCAATACTCACGTATCTCGTCGACTCTAAGCGCCGGATCATCTCTCGATTCTCCAGACTCGAGATATTTCCGCAGAGGGACAAACTTGCCCCTCTTACGATCTCGATCCGCTCTGCGTCGCATCACTGACCTCCGTGTCATTGCTAGAACGTCTCTTAACATCGACTTGAGCTCAATGAGCCTAGTCGTATCCGCCACCCGGTCTCGCCCATACCGAAGTCTGAGCTCCACCACGTGTCGTTTCTGACGCGGGGTTAACCTTTGCGACTGCCGCCGCCTGGTCAACTCCACATCTATCCAGTTAAGATAACGCGACAGATTCTTGATCTCTGCTTCCCTAGCGGCGAACCAGTCCTTCTCACGTTGTGCGCATTTCTTGTCTTCTAATTTGAGGACATGCGCAACGGTGCAAGAAGCGGCATAAACCGTTCTGTTTAGGTCAGCGAGACTTCGAATAGTTCCGTTGGCAACATGCTCAGCCACCAAGTGGTTAGCATGTTTCCACAGAACCTCCGGCACCTTTCTAGGGAATTTGATCGGTTTTCGGACCTTTCTTGTTTTCCCCATCCAGGTAGCTACAAAGTGGTTAAAGTTTTCTCTGAACTCGTCATCGATCACCCACTCCGTATCCGGACTGCTAGCTGTAGTCGTTGGTTCGGCAGCCGAAGCTGCTTCCCCGATTCGATGATCTTCGATCTGCTCCGAAGAGTTCTCTGGATCATCCAGGATTACCGTTTCGCCATCAGGATTTACAACGACCCTATCCCAGACCTTGTCAAAGATACGATCGGCCGCCTTGTCTCGCTGGAGTTTCGAACGAATCGAACTCCAGTTTCTAGCCGGCAAGTTTAACCCGTAGGCTCTGTTAACTGACTCGATCACACGGTTGTAGCGTTCGCTAAGTTTACCGAACCAAACGGCCGGTCCACCCGCTTCAACACCACCAGTGCTTTCTTTTAGTTCCCGGTACTCCTGACACACCCTGGCCAACTCGTCAGTTGACCAGTTCTGGCGTTGTACCCTACCAGTCACCCTGGTTGGTTGTGTCTGAACCCGTGCAAGCACCGATTCAGACGGTTGGGCTCCAGCATTACCGTTTGCTCGTGATGAGTTTTCATTTGGTATGCCGGGGGCCCCAGCACCCGTCGATTGTTCCCCGGAAGGTCCCGGTTCGCTTTCTGTGGGCGCCGACTCAGTCCTCCCCCTCTTCGTGGGGGGAGACCTGAGATTTGACGGCTCAGGTAACATCCTATCTGACGGGCAATGGTCTGCAGCATCCCGCCACAGTTCCCCTGAGCCACCAGAAGACTGTGTGACCGCGCGAGGACGCCTCTTTTTAGGATTCAAAGCCGTAAAATTTCGGCTGGGGCGCCTAGCTAGGGCGCCCAACCTAGGGACCTTATTTGGTATTGTATTATCCTGCCCCCCTAGAGTACCCAACTCTGGCAGCTGTTGGCGGGTGTAAAACCGTAAACCACCCTGGAAGTAACACTTGTGTTCATACTTATGCAATAATGGCCCGCTTTTATTACCAAACTTGCGTAACATCAAAGGAATTTCCCAAGGATTTTCCCAGACGCTGCACAGTGCGTGGCAAAAAAGAGTATCCAAACTTGCGTAAGAACCAAGCATTTACTTCCCTGCTCGTAAGCCCGCCCCCTTTCGCTGATTGGCTGGTTAGGCCTTTCCGCGCAGTGGACACGCCCCCTTTCCGAGGATAAACTCGAAAAGTTCGAGCCGAGCGTCCGTCCCCCTGTGGCCTACTGGTCAAAGGGGGCGGTTCGTGCGTGAAACCTTGCGAGTTCGAATCCCCCCACCCCCCACTAATCTCTCTACTTTCAGATTTTCCGATATGGCAAACCCGAGAAAGCAAGGAGAACAGAAGAAGGAGGAGAAAAAGCCCGGCGACCAACAGCAGAAGCCAGGTGTGTCTAAGCCGAAGCCGAAACCCACCCCTTATTCAACTATCCTGAAGGCCTTAGGACTTATGGATTCAAAATCTCCAACTATCAGCGATGAAGTATACGGCCTGCTTCATAAAGTCTGTCAAAATCACAAGCCTTGTTCAGGCACCCCTACCGGGGACCATTGTGTCCAACTCATTGGCATGCAAAATCGTATTACCAAACACGATCTGTTCCACAAGAAGAAGGTGATGCCAGCCTTGAGGAAACTTGACGTTGTCTGGCGCAACTATTCGCACCGCCACCCTGCAGAAGCTCAACAAGTTGAAGAGGAGCTTATGGAATTGGATAACCAAGAGCCTGAAGACCAGCCCGGCGCCTCCAATGTAAAGGACAACCCCTCCAAGGACAAGAAGGCCAAGTCGAAGAAGTCAAGTGCAGAGGAAGATCAAGCTAAGTAAACAGATCTCTATGGTTGTTGTATGTCAATTCAGGTAAAAATAAATAAAATTTTTCCTGTTTTTTCATAACACAATTCCGCTCTTCCCCCTCCCACAACCGATACCTTTTACTCTCGCACTCTGTAGCTAATGCATCCGAGGCAATTATCCACTAGCGATTGGTTTTGAGCCACGCTCGACCCTCTCGGGTCACACTAGATGGCTTACCCTTCCGCCGCTCACTCTGAGTAGCGATTTCATCTCCAGTATCAATTGAGTTCGGGTACTTCTATCTATTCAAGAGCTTCCGCTTCCGCGTATGCTTATCTGATCATGCTTTTATTATAGGCTGTGCCTTGGTTCTCACGAACCGCACGAACAGTGCATCCTTCAGCCGCCCTATCATAGACCTGTCACCAATGGCTGCCATATAGAGCGAAAACCCAACGCTTCTATAGGCACTGAGGCAGCTGGGCTCTGCCTGTATCGTATACTTCATCACTTTTCACTTCGGTTTGTAGCCTCCTTTCTCACTAACCTTTCTACAGCACTTGACATCAAATCGATAGCTCAAGGCTAACTTTTGTCCGTACTTGGCTTTCGATCGGTAACTTAGCGAGGGGAGGTATTTGGTTATCTTGATTTGAGGGGTACTCATCTCTCACACCAAACCTGCTGCTCAGTAAAAGTAGCCTCTTTCACTTCATGCCCTACTATGATTCTTGCCAGCCTTGAGGAAACTTGACGTTGTCTGGCGCAACTATTCGCACCGCCACCCTGCAGAAGCTCAACAAGTTGAAGAGGAGCTTATGGAATTGGATAATCAAGAGCCTGAAGACCAGCCCGGCGCCTCCAATGTAAAGGACAACCCCTCCAAGGACAAGAAGGCCAAGTCGAAGAAGTCAAGTGCAGAGGAAGATCAAGCTAAGTAAACAGATCTCTATGGTTGTTGTATGTCAATTCAGGTAAAAATAAATAAAATTTTTCCTGTTTTTTCATAACACAATTCCGCTCTTCCCCCTCCCACAACCGATACCTTTTACTCTCGCACTCTGTAGCTAATGCATCCGAGGCAATTATCCACTAGCGATTGGTTTTGAGCCACGCTCGACCCTCTCGGGTCACACTAGATGGCTTACCCTTCCGCCGCTCACTCTGAGTAGCGATTTCATCTCCAGTATCAATTGAGTTCGGGTACTTCTATCTATTCAAGAGCTTCCGCTTCCGCGTATGCTTATCTGATCATGCTTTTATTATAGGCTGTGCCTTGGTTCTCACGAACCGCACGAACAGTGCATCCTTCAGCCGCCCTATCATAGACCTGTCACCAATGGCTGCCATATAGAGCGAAAACCCAACGCTTCTATAGGCACTGAGGCAGCTGGGCTCTGCCTGTATCGTATACTTCATCACTTTTCACTTCGGTTTGTAGCCTCCTTTCTCACTAACCTTTCTACAGCACTTGACATCAAATCGATAGCTCAAGGCTAACTTTTGTCCGTACTTGGCTTTCGATCGGTAACTTAGCGAGGGGAGGTATTTGGTTATCTTGATTTGAGGGGTACTCATCTCTCACACCAAACCTGCTGCTCAGTAAAAGTAGCCTCTTTCACTTCATGCCCTACTTCTGTAAGGTTAGTCGCTTACTTGAGACCACATTCACCTCAACACAACAGGCATAAAGGGTTTTCCTTGGCTTTCAGAGTGTTTAGCCGACTGTTACATCGCCCACCGGTCACCACGTGGAGGTAACTCTGTGGGGCCAAGGACCCAGGGAAATATTGGTGAAAATTCCTTTGCTTTTACGCAAGTTCGCCCCAAACTTTTGAAAAATTTTCTAAGTCCGGAGAAGAACCTTTGCTCTTACGCAGGTTTTGTTCACCAATACACAACGTATCACACAATGGCTGAGTAAACCCAGTCAACACCCCGACATTAACCATACAACGTATGGATCAGACAACAAGCCAGTAATTAAACCAACCTGCAAGGTCATATAAGGGGTAAAGGCTGCAATGACATGAAGTCAAGGCATATATGCATACGAAACCGCAGCATATCTAGCGGCTGCCCACGCCGCCCCTGTTGGTCCGTGTTATAGATACGTTGCGCCAGTTCCCAGACCGGCATTCATACGCGTCACCATGGCGTCCGCCTAAGGCATCCTCAAACATGCAACAGCTTAACTCTAGGTCCAAGCGGCCTAGGTCTCACACGAAGCATGGTACGCCAACCCTAAGGAACCCGGAGGAACCTCCCAAAGAGACAAGTTGGCGCTCTTGGACTTTCGCATTCCGCGAGGCCTCATAATACGAACTTACAATGAATGAGTCATGCTTGCGCAAGCAACCATGACTAGTGTGGTCTCATACCTCTCCCCCGAAGGGCAAATGTCTTTAGGTTGCGTGCAGCGGGTTTCCCACTGTCGGTACTAACCCTCCTGGGCTTTCCACACGACGGGTACTGACACCACTTCACGGCACTCCGCTAGGAGCACTGCCTAATTACATGGCGAAGTATGACCGGATAATGTAATCTGTACCAAGCACAACCGAGCGTTGAATTTTCTCTAGAATCCGAGGAATGTTCGGATTTTCGAGTAACTCTGCAAGGTGGGGCACAAATTGCATGTGTACTTCCCCTGTTGGCGAGATAATCATAGGGAATACCTTCACACCCCCAGTAAACTGAGGATACAAAACCCTTATCTCGTTAGCAAGGTTCACACCAGGCGGATATGGTATGCTCTCACTGAACTCGTGATTACTGTTCACTGCATACCTGTTGAGCTTGTTATCGTATTGCTTTTGCAACACACTCAACCACGTTACACTGACCTCTACTATATAAATCACCTTTCTAGTAGAGTCGAAGACAACAAGATCCGGTCTGTTGTGACGAGGTTTATTGGGAGTAACTATGTCCGAGTCGTAACGGACAGTGAGTCGCTCACCCCTCATCTCTGCCGGGATCTGTTGCGTATAGTGGAACTTCGGTAGGCTACCATCTACCTCAGTCAGAGCATTGTATAGCCAGCGAGTAACTCCATCATGCCTCACCTTCATATGGCTTTTGCGCAATTCGGCGCAGCCAGTAATGATGTGAGCAATGCTTGCACTTGGAGCTTTACACGCTCTACACATGGTCAACACACCGTGAGGGTTCACTCCCTCCAAAAGAGTTCCCTCCATAACACTCACGGCATGTTGGTACGCTTTCTCGTTTATCCATGCTTTTCTCAACCAATGGTATGAGTTTGCATGGTCCACGACCGTCGGATCTGCCCTTTCGACTCGCCCTGCGCGCTGGTAAGTTAGCAAAGTTTCCTTCCACTGCGCTTCCAACTTGGCATCTATCGCTCTCGCAATAGTTCTAGCCAGGACGGACGGTTGACCGGTAGGAAGTCCATTCGGATCCGGCAGTTCTACCGATAAACCAAGGGAGTCTACGATGCTCGTAAGGTGCTTGTAAACAGTAAACTTGTTACTCAATCGACCCGAGACGAAGTAGTCTCTGGCACGACTGATAGTTTCGTCTTGACTTGTCAGAAGATAGGAGGCTGAATATGCAACTGCTACATAATAAGCTCTCTCCATCGACGGCCAAGCTAGACCTCCCTGTTCACAGCTAAGGTGAATACGCGCTGTACTACACTTGTCGTGAAGAATACCAGCTGATTTGACTAAACGCCGAATCTCGATATCCAACCGACGCATGCGCTCAGCAGCACCCCTGGGGTCCAAGTCACTCAAAATGATGTGACCCAGGATATAGGCCCCCCCAGGGATCGCTTTCGCTCGTATAGCGTCGCGCCTCTGACCAACAGTATGTTCTTTAACCGATAGAATCGCTTCTACACGGTTTAGCAGAACGGCCTGCATTCTGTCAAGGGCGGCCACCTCATTTACAACAAAACCGCTTTCTATTCCCAGGTACTTGTACTCATCCTTCGTCCCAAGAACTGGCAACTCGGATTCAACGTATCTTCCCACGGCTGCGGCTGCTGCGCTCTTACTCGCATTTATGCTTAGTCCAATTTCACCGAACAACTGTGGAATATTCTGTTCCATTCTGCGTTGATCGGCTACGCGGGGGCAATACACTTTCAAGTCATCCATGTAGAACACATGACTAACTTGGATCGCCACCTGCCCTCTATTTCGCCCATTCCCCATGTTCGGCCGAAGGGTTGGGCCAGGGTTAAGGGTTTTAATAGAGGCTGATATTGGAGCCATGCATAGGCAAAACCATGTAGGAGAGAGAGTGTCGCCTTGCAGCAGTCCTCTTTTCACCCTCAGCGGGCTACTTCTCTCCACACGGTTGTTTCGACGGAGCTCGTATCGGACACACCATTGCTGAGATAGTGTGTGGAGTAGATGCACGACCTTAACGTTCACGTTTGCTACTCTCAAAACAGCGAACATATGATCTCGGTTTACGCTGTCGAAGGCCTTTTTACAATCGTAAAATAGGACGCGTAGGTCCGGAAACCCACCGCCCTTACCTTCTCGGCTTGCACCGGTTATCATACGGTCTACGATACTCGCATGCGTACAGCCCCATACGCCTTTACGGTTAGCTATCTGCTCGTATGGGACTAGTCCAGGACAAGCCTGGATCTGCTCTCGAACTGCCATTTCTACTACCGAGGTTATCAACTTATATACAGTGTTCAGGCACGCGATGGGTCTATAGTTGGCGGGATCCTCGAGAGGTCCTTTCTTTGGTAACAATACGACTCTACCAACAGACAACCATCTTGGCGTGATTATCCTTCGCTTCTGTAATAAGCGATATAACCAGGTACAAACCCACTCACTAGCCGACCTGAAGCGTTTCCACAGTACCCCGGGAATACCATCAGGACCAGCAGCTTTGTTGGGCTTGCTCTTCGAAACGGCGGCTCTCCACCACCCCATGATCTTACTTGCGTTCAACTCTTGACTCGGAACGCTTAAATTGGAGGACCAGTCTTGAATCGTCGAATCTGACGTTGACTGTTGGGAAGATCCCACAATGTCATTCCAATATGCACGAACCGTGTCTGGAGAGAGTCGAGGCTCCGCACTGCTAGGCTCTAAGTAACGTTGAATAGGAACAAATTTGCCCTGTTTCCGTTTCTTGTCTGCCGAGCGCTTCGCCATACACTTTCGGATTCCCACTAAGGCGTCTCGTAACATTGCCTGCAATTCCGAGAGCCGGACACCAGACCTAACCCGAGCACGCCCATACTTCGTGATGAGCACACCCAAGTTCTGCCTTTGCCTTGATGTCAACGGCCGCGACGCAGAGCGACGCTTTAACTCCAGGTCAATGAAATTGAGATACCTCTCGAGTGCCTTAATCTCGGCCTTCCTACACGCATACCACTCGGATTCACGCCGCTTAGCTTCCTGATCCTTCTTGTCCAGCGAAGACTTAACAGCGCACCCAGCAGCATAAACCATGCAGTTCAGGCTCTGAATCGACACTTCCCCCTGTCGAATCGATCTCTCAATCAACTCATTGGCTTGACGCCACAGGGTTTCCGGGACTCTCCTCGGGTATTTGATAGGCTTCCGCCACATCGATTTCCCAAGGATCTTAGAAACGAAGAATTTATACTGCCCTTCGAGGTAAGGCTCTACCTCTACGGGTTCCGTTTCAGTCTCCCGGCTATTAGCGGGGGGGTTCTCGACAGGGCGTGTCTCCACACCCTGGTCAGCCACGATCTCGCTTTGCGGATCGGGCACCGCAGCGTCAGCAGCCGATTCAACGACCTCTGCCGCGGGTAACGGGGGTACTACCGGTTCTTCGGCCTCCCCGTCGACCGCTGCTGGGCTGGACCCCCGAAGGGTAGCCGCCTCAGCATGGTCTACGACTACGACTTGTCCAGTATCATTTACCTGAACCCCCGCCCAAGGCAGGCCCGAATCTGGGAGCCCCCGCAGAATAACTTTGGGGTACTGGTTTTTCAAAGAGCTTGCGCTTCTTTGCGGCAATGTGACACCGTACCTATCTTCAATTTTCAACCGGAGATCTTCCCAAAGGATTTCCATGGCCTTATCGACCGTAGGATTTCGAACTTTGTCTCGACGGCGTCGTTCACGAAGACGGTCGTATTCGTACTTGAGCCTGGTCTTTTCTTGCGTAGACCAAAAGACTCTTCCACCTGTATCCACCACACCGGCGTTTTGGTCCGTTCCCGCATTTAGCAACGGACCGGCATTTCTGCCTCCATCAGTTTGGCTACCGGCCACTGGGGCGTTACTTAAACCCAAACCGATGGTTGGAGAGACGGCGTTAGCCAACCTCCGCCGACGCCTCTCGGGAGAGACAATCGGACTTGTGCCGGGTGAACGGGGTACGAAAGATGGTCCTTGTCCGGGCGTACGGTACGAGTTGGGCACACCCCGTTCCGACGTGCTTACCTCGCCCGTATATTCTCCCGCCCTTCTTTTTCTATTCACAGTGCAGAAAAAGGCGGTTCTTAACTCTTAGGTGACTAGCCCGTGAGAGAGTATACCGAAGCATACCGAACCTGGACTAGTTTGACTCCTGGCCCTACAGGAGGTTCTTATGGTACTCACCCAGATTTTACGTAGTGAATAGGCGAATCTGCCTAGGCAGCCACTAGACATACCTACACTAACAAATCAGGGTATTGAGCAGTGCGCTCGACACGGTTATCCCTAGGGTATACCATGGAGCATTATAGCCACTCTTTTCACTTGGTACTCAGGTTCAATCCTACTTCAACTACGTTTTTACGGTAGGAATCGGATGATCGCGTAACCCTTTCGGGCGACACCCCCCTTTCCTCAAGCGATTAAAGCCGGAGATAAGCAGTCAAGAGCCCGATCCACATAGCCGGGTGGCAATGGGTCGATCTTTGCGCGTAGACATTTCTCACAGTCGATTCAGGAATCTGATATCGCGGGTCGAGACACACCAGAGGGCTAGGTCTAAATCCCAATCGGAGAAGAGAAGGGTGGGTAGTGCAAGCTACCCCCTCGAGTCGAGAAGACGCATGAGGGATATACTATGGTTACGGTCCATCAAGTCCTCGTCCACTGCAGACTCCATCAATCGGTCCGGACGTCCCAGATGAGGCACTCGCACGACTCAAGAAAACTCAAGCCGGCCATCACCACACTGAAAGCCAGGATGCCAGATTCCGAAAGTGGAAGAAAGCAGGTGAAGTACCGCCGACCGAATCTGGGGCGGTAATCCTCGCGAGTGCTTGTTGCTGTTAAGTTCTTGAATAAGTAAAAAGTGAATTCTACCGATTCTCTTAACAAAGGGAATCCTTTCACTCCACGTCTATCGCTTTCAGTCTTATATCGATAGACCCCCGGCACTCTGACATCATAGTCTGCTGCTGCCAAATATTGGTTTAAAATGTTAGCAGTTTGACCCTTGAAGCCATTGCGGCGGGGCGGAGTTTCCAGATAACCCGACTCATAACGCTTAGTAATCACACCTTCTTTTCACATTCGTCTTAAACGAGGCTGCACTACGTAATAAACAAGTCCGTAGTCGCCGGGTATAGCCCTGTCACCGACGGCGAATGTATTCCTTTGACTACACGCAAGAGGCTAGCGACTTGGAGCGCAAACTGCAGGGAAATCTCTAAAGGGGACATCTACCTGTATGAAACAGTAACGAGCCCCAATAAAGCTGATAGTGGTACAAACAAGTCTTCCACACCATACACAGTTGCACAAAAGTCTACAGTTCAGAGTATTCAGTCTAATTCAGTGCCACCACTTGAAGGTATACTCGTTCGGTACTGCTAAACCGAGGGCGGATCTTTGGCCAAAGAACTTGGACCTAATCAACACCGCTGGCACCCCAGTTCCCAGACCGGCATTCATACGCGTCACCATGGCGTCCGCCTAAGGCATCCTCAAACATGCAACAGCTTAACTCTAGGTCCAAGCGGCCTAGGTCTCACACGAAGCATGGTACGCCAACCCTAAGGAACCCGGAGGAACCTCCCAAAGAGACAAGTTGGCGCTCTTGGACTTTCGCATTCCGCGAGGCCTCATAATACGAACTTACAATGAATGAGTCATGCTTGCGCAAGCAACCATGACTAGTGTGGTCTCATACCTCTCCCCCGAAGGGCAAATGTCTTTAGGTTGCGTGCAGCGGGTTTCCCACTGTCGGTACTAACCCTCCTGGGCTTTCCACACGACGGGTACTGACACCACTTCACGGCACTCCGCTAGGAGCACTGCCTAATTACATGGCGAAGTATGACCGGATAATGTAATCTGTACCAAGCACAACCGAGCGTTGAATTTTCTCTAGAATCCGAGGAATGTTCGGATTTTCGAGTAACTCTGCAAGGTGGGGCACAAATTGCATGTGTACTTCCCCTGTTGGCGAGATAATCATAGGGAATACCTTCACACCCCCAGTAAACTGAGGATACAAAACCCTTATCTCGTTAGCAAGGTTCACACCAGGCGGATATGGTATGCTCTCACTGAACTCGTGATTACTGTTCACTGCATACCTGTTGAGCTTGTTATCGTATTGCTTTTGCAACACACTCAACCACGTTACACTGACCTCTACTATATAAATCACCTTTCTAGTAGAGTCGAAGACAACAAGATCCGGTCTGTTGTGACGAGGTTTATTGGGAGTAACTATGTCCGAGTCGTAACGGACAGTGAGTCGCTCACCCCTCATCTCTGCCGGGATCTGTTGCGTATAGTGGAACTTCGGTAGGCTACCATCTACCTCAGTCAGAGCATTGTATAGCCAGCGAGTAACTCCATCATGCCTCACCTTCATATGGCTTTTGCGCAATTCGGCGCAGCCAGTAATGATGTGAGCAATGCTTGCACTTGGAGCTTTACACGCTCTACACATGGTCAACACACCGTGAGGGTTCACTCCCTCCAAAAGAGTTCCCTCCATAACACTCACGGCATGTTGGTACGCTTTCTCGTTTATCCATGCTTTTCTCAACCAATGGTATGAGTTTGCATGGTCCACGACCGTCGGATCTGCCCTTTCGACTCGCCCTGCGCGCTGGTAAGTTAGCAAAGTTTCCTTCCACTGCGCTTCCAACTTGGCATCTATCGCTCTCGCAATAGTTCTAGCCAGGACGGACGGTTGACCGGTAGGAAGTCCATTCGGATCCGGCAGTTCTACCGATAAACCAAGGGAGTCTACGATGCTCGTAAGGTGCTTGTAAACAGTAAACTTGTTACTCAATCGACCCGAGACGAAGTAGTCTCTGGCACGACTGATAGTTTCGTCTTGACTTGTCAGAAGATAGGAGGCTGAATATGCAACTGCTACATAATAAGCTCTCTCCATCGACGGCCAAGCTAGACCTCCCTGTTCACAGCTAAGGTGAATACGCGCTGTACTACACTTGTCGTGAAGAATACCAGCTGATTTGACTAAACGCCGAATCTCGATATCCAACCGACGCATGCGCTCAGCAGCACCCCTGGGGTCCAAGTCACTCAAAATGATGTGACCCAGGATATAGGCCCCCCCAGGGATCGCTTTCGCTCGTATAGCGTCGCGCCTCTGACCAACAGTATGTTCTTTAACCGATAGAATCGCTTCTACACGGTTTAGCAGAACGGCCTGCATTCTGTCAAGGGCGGCCACCTCATTTACAACAAAACCGCTTTCTATTCCCAGGTACTTGTACTCATCCTTCGTCCCAAGAACTGGCAACTCGGATTCAACGTATCTTCCCACGGCTGCGGCTGCTGCGCTCTTACTCGCATTTATGCTTAGTCCAATTTCACCGAACAACTGTGGAATATTCTGTTCCATTCTGCGTTGATCGGCTACGCGGGGGCAATACACTTTCAAGTCATCCATGTAGAACACATGACTAACTTGGATCGCCACCTGCCCTCTATTTCGCCCATTCCCCATGTTCGGCCGAAGGGTTGGGCCAGGGTTAAGGGTTTTAATAGAGGCTGATATTGGAGCCATGCATAGGCAAAACCATGTAGGAGAGAGAGTGTCGCCTTGCAGCAGTCCTCTTTTCACCCTCAGCGGGCTACTTCTCTCCACACGGTTGTTTCGACGGAGCTCGTATCGGACACACCATTGCTGAGATAGTGTGTGGAGTAGATGCACGACCTTAACGTTCACGTTTGCTACTCTCAAAACAGCGAACATATGATCTCGGTTTACGCTGTCGAAGGCCTTTTTACAATCGTAAAATAGGACGCGTAGGTCCGGAAACCCACCGCCCTTACCTTCTCGGCTTGCACCGGTTATCATACGGTCTACGATACTCGCATGCGTACAGCCCCATACGCCTTTACGGTTAGCTATCTGCTCGTATGGGACTAGTCCAGGACAAGCCTGGATCTGCTCTCGAACTGCCATTTCTACTACCGAGGTTATCAACTTATATACAGTGTTCAGGCACGCGATGGGTCTATAGTTGGCGGGATCCTCGAGAGGTCCTTTCTTTGGTAACAATACGACTCTACCAACAGACAACCATCTTGGCGTGATTATCCTTCGCTTCTGTAATAAGCGATATAACCAGGTACAAACCCACTCACTAGCCGACCTGAAGCGTTTCCACAGTACCCCGGGAATACCATCAGGACCAGCAGCTTTGTTGGGCTTGCTCTTCGAAACGGCGGCTCTCCACCACCCCATGATCTTACTTGCGTTCAACTCTTGACTCGGAACGCTTAAATTGGAAGACCAGTCTTGAATCGTCGAATCTGACGTTGACTGTTGGGAAGATCCCACAATGTCATTCCAATATGCACGAACCGTGTCTGGAGAGAGTCGAGGCTCCGCACTGCTAGGCTCTAAGTAACGTTGAATAGGAACAAATTTGCCCTGTTTCCGTTTCTTGTCTGCCGAGCGCTTCGCCATACACTTTCGGATTCCCACTAAGGCGTCTCGTAACATTGCCTGCAATTCCGAGAGCCGGACACCAGACCTAACCCGAGCACGCCCATACTTCGTAATGAGCACACCCAAGTTCTGCCTTTGCCTTGATGTCAACGGCCGCGACGCAGAGCGACGCTTTAACTCCAGGTCAATGAAATTGAGATACCTCTCGAGTGCCTTAATCTCGGCCTTCCTACACGCATACCACTCGGATTCACGCCGCTTAGCTTCCTGATCCTTCTTGTCCAGCGAAGACTTAACCGCGCACCCAGCAGCATAAACCATGCAGTTCAGGCTCTGAATCGACACTTCCCCCTGTCGAATCGATCTCTCAATCAACTCATTGGCTTGACGCCACAGGGTTTCCGGGACTCTCCTCGGGTATTTGATAGGCTTCCGCCACATCGATTTCCCAAGGATCTTAGAAACGAAGAATTTATACTGCCCTTCGAGGTAAGGCTCTACCTCTACGGGTTCCGTTTCAGTCTCCCGGCTATTAGCGGGGGGGTTCTCGACAGGGCGTGTCTCCACACCCTGGTCAGCCACGATCTCGCTTTGCGGATCGGGCACCGCAGCGTCAGCAGCCGATTCAACGACCTCTGCCGCGGGTAACGGGGGTACTACCGGTTCTTCGGCCTCCCCGTCGACCGCTGCTGGGCTGGACCCCCGAAGGGTAGCCGCCTCAGCATGGTCTACGACTACGACTTGTCCAGTATCATTTACCTGAACCCCCGCCCAAGGCAGGCCCGAATCTGGGAGCCCCCGCAGAATAACTTTGGGGTACTGGTTTTTCAAAGAGCTTGCGCTTCTTTGCGGCAATGTGACACCGTACCTATCTTCAATTTTCAACCGGAGATCTTCCCAAAGGATTTCCATGGCCTTATCGACCGTAGGATTTCGAACTTTGTCTCGACGGCGTCGTTCACGAAGACGGTCGTATTCGTACTTGAGCCTGGTCTTTTCTTGCGTAGACCAAAAGACTCTTCCACCTGTATCCACCACACCGGCGTTTTGGTCCGTTCCCGCATTTAGCAACGGACCGGCATTTCTGCCTCCATCAGTTTGGCTACCGGCCACTGGGGCGTTACTTAAACCCAAACCGATGGTTGGAGAGACGGCGTTAGCCAACCTCCGCCGACGCCTCTCGGGAGAGACAATCGGACTTGTGCCGGGTGAACGGGGTACGAAAGATGGTCCTTGTCCGGGCGTACGGTACGAGTTGGGCACACCCCGTTCCGACGTGCTTACCTCGCCCGTATATTCTCCCGCCCTTCTTTTTCTATTCACAGTTCAGAAAAAGGCGGTTCTTAACTCTTAGGTGACTAGCCCGTGAGAGAGTATACCGAAGCATACCGAACCTGGACTAGTTTGACTCCTGGCCCTACAGGAGGTTCTTATGGTACTCACCCAGATTTTTCGTAGTGAATAGGCGAATCTGCCTAGGCAGCCACTAGACATACCTACACTAACAAAATCAGGGTATTGAGCAGTGCGCTCGACACGGTTATCCCTAGGGTATACCATGGAGCATCATAGCCACTCTTTTCACTTGGTACTCAGGTTCAATCCTACTTCAACTACGTTTTTACGGTAGGAATCGGATGATCGCGTAACCCTTTCGGGCGACACCCCCTTTCCTCAAGCGATTAAAGCCGGAGATAAGCAGTCAAGAGCCCGATCCACATAGCCGGGTGGCAATGGGTCGATCTTTGCGCGTAGACATTTCTCACAGTCGATTCAGGAATCTGATATCGCGGGTCGAGACACACCAGAGGGCTAGGTCTAAATCCCAATCGGAGAAGAGAAGGGTGGGTAGTGCAAGCTACCCCCTCGAGTCGAGAAGACGCATGAGGGATATACTATGGTTACGGTCCATCAAGTCCTCGTCCACTGCAAACTCCATCAATCGGTCCGGACGTCCCAGATGAGGCACTCGCACGACTCAAGAAACTCGAGCCGGCCGTCACCACACTGAAAGCCAGGATGCCAGATTCCGAAAGTGGAAGAAAGCAGTTGAAGTACCGCCGACCGAATCTGGGGCGGTAATCCAGGCGAGTGCTTGTTGTTGTTAAGTTCTTGAATAAGTAAAAAGTGAATTCTACCGATTCTCTTAACAAAGGGAATCCTTTCACTCCACGTCTATCGCTTTCAGTCTTATATCGATAGACCCCCGGCACTCTGACATCATAGTCTGCTGCTGCCAAATATTGGTTTATAAATGTTAGCAGTTTGACCCTTGAAGCCATTGCGGCGGGGTGGAGTTTCCAGATAACCCGACTCATAACACTTAGTAATCACACCTTCTTTTTACATTCGTCTTAAACGAGGCTGCACTACGTAATAAACAAGTCCGTAGTCGCCGGGTATAGCCCTGTCACCGACGGCGAATGTATTCCTTTGACTACACGCAAGAGGCTAGCGACTTGGAGCGCAAACTGCAGGGAAATCTCTAAAGGGGACATCTACCTGTATGAAACAGTAACGAGCCCCAATAAAGCTGATAGTGGTACAAACAAGTCTTCCACACCATACACAGTTGCACAAAAGTCTACAGTTCAGAGTATTCAGTCTAATTCAGTGCCACCACTTGAAGGTATACTCGTTCGGTACTGCTAAACCGAGGGCGGATCTTTGGCCAAAGAACTTGGACCTAATCAACACCGCTGGCACCCCAGTTCCCAGACCGGCATTCATACGCGTCACCATGGCGTCCGCCTAAGGCATCCTCAAACATGCAACAGCTTAACTCTAGGTCCAAGCGGCCTAGGTCTCACACGAAGCATGGTACGCCAACCCTAAGGAACCCGGAGGAACCTCCCAAAGAGACAAGTTGGCGCTCTTGGACTTTCGCATTCCGCGAGGCCTCATAATACGAACTTACAATGAATGAGTCATGCTTGCGCAAGCAACCATGACTAGTGTGGTCTCATACCTCTCCCCCGAAGGGCAAATGTCTTTAGGTTGCGTGCAGCGGGTTTCCCACTGCCGGTACTAACCCTCCCGGGCTTTCCACACGACGGGTACTGACACCACTTCACGGCACTCCGCTAGGAGCACTGCCTAATTACATGGCGAAGTATGACCGGATAATGTAATCTGTACCAAGCACAACCGAGCGTTGAATTTTCTCTAGAATCCGAGGAATGTTCGGATTTTCGAGTAACTCTGCAAGGTGGGGCACAAATTGCATGTGTACTTCCCCTGTTGGCGAGATAATCATAGGGAATACCTTCACACCCCCAGTAAACTGAGGATACAAAACCCTTATCTCGTTAGCAAGGTTCACACCAGGCGGATATGGTATGCTCTCACTGAACTCGTGATTACTGTTCACTGCATACCTGTTGAGCTTGTTATTTCACTTCATGCCCTACTATGATTCTTGCCAGCCTTGAGGAAACTTGACGTTGTCTGGCGCAACTATTCGCACCGCCACCCTGCAGAAGCTCAACAAGTTGAAGAGGAGCTTATGGAATTGGATAATCAAGAGCCTGAAGACCAGCCCGGCGCCTCCAATGTAAAGGACAACCCCTCCAAGGACAAGAAGGCCAAGTCGAAGAAGTCAAGTGCAGAGGAAGATCAAGCTAAGTAAACAGATCTCTATGGTTGTTGTATGTCAATTCAGGTAAAAATAAATAAAATTTTTCCTGTTTTTTCATAACACAATTCCGCTCTTCCCCCTCCCACAACCGATACCTTTTACTCTCGCACTCTGTAGCTAATGCATCCGAGGCAATTATCCACTAGCGATTGGTTTTGAGCCACGCTCGACCCTCTCGGGTCACACTAGATGGCTTACCCTTCCGCCGCTCACTCTGAGTAGCGATTTCATCTCCAGTATCAATTGAGTTCGGGTACTTCTATCTATTCAAGAGCTTCCGCTTCCGCGTATGCTTATCTGATCATGCTTTTATTATAGGCTGTGCCTTGGTTCTCACGAACCGCACGAACAGTGCATCCTTCAGCCGCCCTATCATAGACCTGTCACCAATGGCTGCCATATAGAGCGAAAACCCAACGCTTCTATAGGCACTGAGGCAGCTGGGCTCTGCCTGTATCGTATACTTCATCACTTTTCACTTCGGTTTGTAGCCTCCTTTCTCACTAACCTTTCTACAGCACTTGACATCAAATCGATAGCTCAAGGCTAACTTTTGTCCGTACTTGGCTTTCGATCGGTAACTTAGCGAGGGGAGGTATTTGGTTATCTTGATTTGAGGGGTACTCATCTCTCACACCAAACCTGCTGCTCAGTAAAAGTAGCCTCTTTCACTTCATGCCCTACTTCTGTAAGGTTAGTCGCTTACTTGAGACCACATTCACCTCAACACAACAGGCATAAAGGGTTTTCCTTGGCTTTCAGAGTGTTTAGCCGACTGTTACATCGCCCACCGGTCACCACGTGGAGGTAACTCTGTGGGGCCAAGGACCCAGGGAAATATTGGTGAAAATTCCTTTGCTTTTACGCAAGTTCGCCCCAAACTTTTGAAAAATTTTCTAAGTCCGGAGAAGAACCTTTGCTCTTACGCAGGTTTTGTTCACCAATACACAACGTATCACACAATGGCTGAGTAAACCCAGTCAACACCCTGACATTAACCATACAACGTATGGATCAGACAACAAGCCAGTAATTAAACCAACCTGCAAGGTCATATAAGGGGTAAAGGCTGCAATGACATGAAGTCAAGGCATATATGCATACGAAACCGCAGCATATCTAGCGGCTGCCCACGCCGCCCCTGTTGGTCCGTGTTATAGATACGTTGCGCCAGTTCCCAGACCGGCATTCATACGCGTCACTTCAGTTTCGCAGCAACGTCCGCACAATGTGCAAACCTCTCACGTTGCACCCGCCCCATCTTCCAGGTTTTACCCTGGTGAATGGATAAGAAGACATCCCATCTCATTATATGCGAACTGACATTGACGCCCCTGGGTCAGTGGTCTTCAGCTGATATCTCTATCATATTCACTGTGTTCCACTCACCCAGGGTTTGCCCACCTCTTTGCTGACTTTAGGCTGTGCCTTATAGGCCTTTAGTCATTTGCTTACTCAACTAGTGTTTTCTCAGCATTGCAAAGTAGGTACGAATAATGTAGTCTGTTCCCAGCACGACTGACCGCTGTATCCTCTCAACAATCTTTGACACATTAGACTGTTGGAGCAGCATACGCAGGTGGGGAACAAACTCATTGTGAATATGGCCTGTTGGTGTAATGACCAAAGGTAAGACTTTTACACCATTTACGTACTGCGGGTACATCACTCGCAGTTCATTCGCCAAATTCACCCCTGGTGGATACGGGCAGTGCTCGCTGTACTCGTGATTCGAGTTTACAGCATATCGACAGTACTTATTCTCGTACATTTTCTGCACTATTGTGAACCAGGACACACTGACCTCAACGATGAATATTTCCTTTCGTTGTTTGTCAAACACGACCAGATCGGGGCGGCAATGCTTTGGACGATTCGGCGTTACGACATCTATGTCATACCTTATCTCCAATCTGTTTCCAATTGCCAACCCATCGATCTGTTGCGTATAGTGGAACCTTGGTAGGCTTTCGTCTACCTCGGTAAGAGCAGAGTACAACCATCTAGTTGCACCGTCATGCCTCGTTTTCATTATTGTCTCACGGAGCCTTTCACAGCCACTCGTGATATGGATAATGTCGGCATTACGATTACCACATGCCCTACACTTTTCCAGCACATTATGTGGGTTTACTCCCTCTAGGAGAGTGCCCTCTATCACACTATTAATATGCTGGTACGCTTTACCATTGATCCAGCCTTTCTCTAACCAGAGATGGGAGTTTTCCTGGTCAATGGCAGACGATTCCGCGTTCACAAAGCGACCGGCTCTTGGCATGGCCCGAAGGTCACGGAGGTAATTTTCCTCGATTTTCGTATCGATGGCTAGTACGAGCTTTCGCGCTAAAGCCTTAGGATCATTACCCCACGGCGGTTCTATGACCTGCCGTCCAATCTCCAGTTCACCCAGAACGTACAGCAAGTGCTTGTAAACTTGGTTTTTAGCGGCTAGGGTGCCGTACACAAAGTGCTCTTGCGCCCTCTTGACCCATGGGTCTCCGCTGGTAAGGAGATATGCCGACGAGTACGCTACTGCTGCACAGTAGGTTCTAAACATCGAAGGCCACTCCAAACCCCCTCGTTTACAGCTGAGGTATATTCGCGGATTCGCACAACTATGATGAAGCAGACCTTTTCTCCGGATCTTCTCTCGAATCACCATGTCTAGCTTCAACATGTCGGCTTTGGCCGAGTTTGGCTGCTTATCACCCAGTATTATATTACCGAGGATAAATGCCGCGCCCGGGAACGCCACTGTACGAATCGCTATCCGCCGTTGGCCGACTGTATGACCTTCTACATCAAGTATACTCTGTACTTTTGCTAATATAGTGGTCTGCATTCGACTATAGGCAGAAGCCTCATTTGCCACAAACCCGCTCTCGATACCCAAGTACTTATACTGATCTTTCACTCCCAATAAAGGAAGCGAGGACCTCAATGTTCTTGATGGGCCGGCGGCTGCAGCACTCTTGCTTTCGTTTACACATAGTCCTATCTGCGAGAACAGTTCAGGCACTAACCTTTCGGCTCTTACCTGAGCTGCCTCACCTGTGCAATACACTTTTAAATCATCCATATAAAACAAATGGCTGACGTGTACTTGCCCACCATCGCTATGCCCTGCTACTTGACGTATACAAGGTCCGGGGTTTCTCAACCTCAGAGCGTGGGATATGGGAGCTATGCATAAACAGAACCATGTAGGGGACAAGGAGTCACCCTGAAGCAATCCCCTCTTCACTCGGAGCGGGGCGCTTCTTTCTACACGGCCGGATCGTCTAAGCTCATATCGGACAGTCCAATTCATCGTAAAAGACTTCAACAGGTAGTAGATCTTTCGGTCTACACCCGCGACATCTAATACTCTGAACATATGGTCACGACTAACCGAGTCGAAGGCCTTCTTACAGTCGTAGAACAGGACCCTTAGATCCGCGTTCTGGCCTTTCGACATCGCTGCCGTTCCCGTTACCAGCCTGTCAACGATACTTGCATGCGTACATCCCCATACACCTTTACGGTTTGCGACTTGCTCGCTAGGGATTAACGTAGGGCAAGCAGTTACTTGCTCTCTGATGGCACGTTCTATTACCGACGTCATAAGTTTATAGCATGTGTTTAAACACGCGATGGGTCTATAATTAGCGGGGTCGTTTGGGTCACCCTTCTTCATCAAAAGGACGACACGACCCTCACTTAACCATCTCGGCGTATCTATTCGACTACACGCTAACTTCTTAATCAGCCAGGTGCACAACCAATTGCTCGCATTGGGGAGGCATTTCCATACACACCCCGGTAGGCCGTCTGGGCCTGCAGCTTTGTTTGGTTTGCACTTAGACAGTGCCATCTTCCACCATACTTGGATCTTGGAAGGCGTGGCAGTTTGCACCGGCACTTCGAGGTCATGAGCCCAATCAGCAGTGATCGAACGACTGTCGGAACGGTCGTCGGCCCCCACCAATTCAGCCCAATACTCTTTCACTCGGTTTGCATCCAGCTGTGGTTCCACTTCCGGACCCTTCTCAAGATATCGCCTTAGAGGTACAAACTTTGCCCTCTTGCGCTCTCGATCAGCCTTCCGCTTAGCCACGCTCTTCCTGACCCCCGCTAGGGCATCCCTCAACATGGATCGCAGCTCTTTCAGTCTGCCAGTGTCGGCAATTCTCTCTCGGCCATATCTAGTCTTAAGCTGACGAGAACACCAACGCTGATGGGTAGTCTGGCGGGCCGAGACTCGTCTACGGGCCAGCTCCACATCTATCCAGTTGAGGTAGCGCAACAGGCTATTCGTCTCCACCTCTCTAGCTGCGAACCAATTCCGCTCTCGTTCCAGGCATAGCCTGTCTTTCTCTTTCAAGAAATGCTGAACAGTACATGCGGCGGCATAAGCAAGCTTGTTAAGGTCATGGAGCGAAATCGCAACACCCGATCTAAGCACATCTCCAATTAAGGAGTTGGCTTGTGTCCAGAGTGTTCCCGGCACTTTTCTGGGGAACTTCAGGGGCTTTCGCCACGTGGAGTTCCTTTCCATAAAGACTTTACGATAGTGGTTGAACTGTTGACGGAATCTCTCCTCGACAACAACACTACCGTCTTCCGGGCTGCTAGCTTCCGTGTCGTCCACTACGTGGACTCTCTCTGCTTCCGCCGGAGCGTCAGCAGGTGTGCCGCTACTTTGCCCTAATTCCTCCGATCTCTCGTTGGTTTCAGGCATTTCGCTTTCGTGGACATCGCTACCTACTCCAGCTAAACCCACCCTAGGCCATACACGCCTATCTGAATTCTTCAGCTCAACGGGGAGTCGGTTGACTAGTTTGCTTTTTACAGCACCCGCTTCCCGTTGGGGTAGATCTAACTGATATATTCGGTTTACTAAGAGCCTCACCCTCTCGTACTGCTCTGCGAGGCGGATCCAATATTGGTCTCCGCCGAGCCTCCGTAGACGGGTGGGATCAACCACAGCTCTTAGCGCTTTGTCCTCCTGG